TATTGTAATAATAAATTAATTTAATATTTATTAATACTGGTAAAATAGACGGTAAAATCAGTCGAACCGGTTGAACTGCGTACTGTTGGCTCGTCCGGTATAATGACAGGTACGGTATTTAAAACATTGCTCTATCCGTTGTTAATAAAGTTAACCGTTGCTTCACTTCAGAGCCGCTACCATAATTTCCCGTCTGGCGGCCGCGACTCACCGGACACCGCCTCCCGATTTTCTCGTTCTTCGTCCCAATCCCTGCGACAAGGTCATTCTAAGTTCTATTTCTCGTAATTTTATCATACGGTTTATTGTTTATAGAACGTAGTGACTAAGTGTGTGTGTGCTTTCACAGCCAAAAGAATGGGCTTGAGGTGTTCGATGAAATGCCAATTACTATCTTTTGTGTTCTTTTGCCATTTTGGAAAAACAAAACATCTGCTCTCTTTTTCTGCAAGTTCATACGAGGCTAATTATGCTTAATGCCGTTGGGTTCCTCTGTTTCTCTTCCCTGAAAAAGAGTATATCGATGGCTTACTCCTAACCTTCTCTTTCGGAAGTGACAAATCCAACCGAAAAGTTCATCGCAAAAACGTACAAATGAAATACATTTTATTTTCTAATGTTCATTTGCAGTTGGATTGAATCACCAAAACCAAACGATAGTTGATTGATTGGTCTCCATCACTCACCAATGGCTCAAAATTCGATTACTTGTACGAAAACACTCACCAGGAGGCTCCTCTTCTCCTCTTCAAGTAACCCGGTTATCGCCCGAGCCCGAAATCCCTACTCCTACACTCAAACTCAAACGTACGTGGAAGTCTACATGAAATGGAAAAAAGACCCTTACTTCGACTCTATCGACTCAATCCACAAGTCCCTCGAGCTGAAGCCCGTAATTGCTGTAAAAAACTTCTTCATATCCTCCTCCTCCTCTCCGCACGAAAAATACTCGATTCCCATCTCGGCCATCTCGAAAAAAGGCACCGACTTTGACTTGAAGATCAAAGTCATAAGGTTCCTGAGGAGTTACCCGTCTTTCTTCGAGGAGTTCACGGGCCCCCTTTACAATATGCCCTGGTTTAGACTTACTGCAAGAGCCATCGAGCTCGATCGAGAGGAAAGAATGGTTTACGAGGACTTTGCAGACAATATTGTGGGGAGATTGAAGAAGTTGATATTAATGAGCGGGACCCAAAGAAAGATGCTTCCTTTAAAGATAATCAAGGGGTTGCAATGGTATCTAGGCTTGCCTCCCGAGTTTCGGGGGGACCCGCTCGATTATGTAGGGAAATACGGGTGCTTTCGTGTTGTGGATATTGAGGATGGGTTGAAAGGTCTATCTGTTTTCGAGGAGCAAGAAGATGAAAAACGTGGTAAAATTTTGTCCGTGATGCAAAAAAAGGCAATAAAAAGAGGAATATACAGCGAAGCTGAGGGTGAGGCGATTGGTTTTCCATTGTTTCCCTCCAAAGGGCTGAGACTGAAGCACAAGATAAAAGATTGGCTGCATGAATTTCAACGGCTTCCTTACGTGTCCCCTTACGAGGATTTCTCGTGTTTGAATCCAGACAGCGATTTGTCTGAAAAACGGGTCGTTGGTGTTCTTCACGAGCTGTTGTGTTTGTTTGTCGAGCATGCAGCCGAGAGAAAGTCGCTTTTTTGTCTAAGGAAGCACTTGGGTCTGCCCCAGAAGGTGCACAAGGCGTTTGAGAGGCATCCTCACGTGTTTTATCTGTCTATGAAGAATAAAACGTGCACGGCTATTCTGAAGGAAGCCTATCGGGATGAACTGGCTATAGAGCCCCATCCATTGGCGCATGTGAGGAAAAAGTATATCGAGCTAATGAAGGAATCGGCTGGCATTTTGAGGAATAGGAGGGTGAACAATAATAGGTTTTCGGCTTCTGAGCAAAATGATTTATGCTCGAATGATTTGGATCGTGTAGATGATGTGGCGTCTCAGCTTGCTTGAAGCTTGATTGTGAATTAGCTTTTTTTTTTTTTTTTTCTGCAGTTAACGGGTAATGAGAAAAGTACGTGTGCACTCGTTAGTTTGCTGTGACGAAAACAGAGGTGGTGTTGGTGTGGATTGGGGCAAGTTTGAGTCATGAAGCCGTTCTAGCCTTGAAGTCGGGCTCTTATACCCGCGAGTGATTTCAGTTCAAAATCAGCATGGTATATATGTTATCAACCCAATTGGACCCGGATAAGTTATCAAGGAGTCGTGGGATTCTATCGGCCAATATACCAGGCCGGCAATAATATTAGGGGCTACTATCACATTGAAAGAACACCTAATTAAGTCTTGATAGGTACAGATCATATCCTATCTCTTACAGCAAACAAATGAGCCCTAGAAAGGTCCACAGATCTGGACTGTATAATCCTCTTCGACATTACAACAAATGCCCTAGATCATCTCTTTATCCTTTGAAAGATGCGTGATTCATATTGATCTAGGGGTATAAACGAGTCGAGCCGACCTCGAATCTCGAGTTCGAGCTCGGCTCAACTCGTTAACTTAATGAGCTTATAATCGAGCTCGAGCTCCTCGTCTGTCGATATTAACGAGCCGAGCTCGAGCCTTAACGAGTCAAAATCAAAACGAACTATAGAAATATACACAAAAATCATCTTTTCCTGCTTTATTGAGCAGAGTTAACTGAGTTGTTAACTGACGAACTTTAAATGAGCTTGAGCTTGGCTCATTTATCAACAATAAATGTACAGAAAAAAATTATGATCTATTTCTTTATAATAATCAAACAAGAACAATTTTACAACAAAAATCAAACATTATTTATTATTTCGTAACAAAAATATTTTTATTTCAATCATGATATTTTATTTTTGCATTACATTCATAATATTTTTTTATTTTATATCCATCCTTGATTTCAAAATAAATTCTCCCTTTATATATATAAAAAACAAAAAAAAAAAAAAATATCTGGACAAAAAAGAATGTGGACAAAAATAAAAAGCACGTATTCTCATAATACGTTTTTTTTTTTAATTATATTTTTCAACAAAAACATATTCTGATAATACGTTTTTAAATTATGTTATTTTTTAAAGTTAAAAAAATAATAAATAAAACGTATTTTGATAATACGTTTTATTTATTATTTTTTTTAATAAAAAAATAATAAATTGTGTGTTGGGCTCGTTTAGGCTCGTCTGAAATCGGAATTGAGTTCCATTTTTTCCTATACGTAGCTAATGAATCCCTCTATTCAAAGCTCTTGACCAATACATTAAACGTGTTTCACACGGCTTTGCTTTTTGGGCCCGTTCTGACTCGTCCAAGTTCGAAATTGATTTCTGCTTCTTCTTATATGTCGCCAATGAACTCTTTTACACAACCATGATTTCCCGGTCAATTTTCGGGCTACGTCTATTCCTCACGGGCCAACAAATCACCCATTATATAAATAGATGGTCTATGGAGGATTTGTTAATGGGTGATTTGTATTTTGTGTTTTGGACTCATTTGGGCTTGTCTGAACTCGGAATTGAGTTCCGTTTTTTTCCTATACGCAGCTAACGAACCCTTCTATTCAATGATGCTTGAATGGCCAAATTATTCTTGAAATCATATTCTCCCAAAGCTCTTGACCAATACGTTAAACGTGTTCCGCGCGACTTTGCTTTTTGGGACCGTTCGGACTCGTCCAAGGTCGAAATTAATTTCCGCTTTTTCTTATATGTAGCCAACGAACCCGTCTACGCAATCATCTTTGCCCGGTCAATTTTCGGGCTAAATCTATTTCTCACGGGCTAAATAATTAACAGATCACCCATTAACAAATCCTCCACGGACCATCTATTAATGGGTGATTTGTTAATTATTTAGCCCAGTGAGGAATAGATTTAACCCGAAAAAATTGACCGTGCAATCATGATTGTGTAGACGGGTGCGTTGGTGACATATAGAAAGAAACGGAACTCATTTACGAGCTTGGACGAGTCCGAACGGGCCCAAAAAGCAAAGTCGCGCGAAACACGTTTAATGTGTAGGTCAAGATCTTTGGGAGAATATGATTTCAAGAAAACAGATTTTAAATCTTTATCGAAACAAGCATGTAAAACTGAAAACTTGTTCATACTGGCGAACCGGTTAAATCTGTAAATCTGAAAATACTTAACATGCAAGTTCGAAAATTAAATACGTAGCGAAAAAGTCTTAAAAGCGTGACTTCATATTATACAGACATAAAAAGTCAATAAATAAATGTCCACTGAAACAAATGCACGACCATCACCACCACTTCTGAGCTCACACCTCCGAGTCGACCCTATTACCTGAAAAACACAATAGTGGTACTCTACACAATTGTGCTGAGTACTGATCCTCTTGCACTCCATAAAAACCCAGACTATAGTAAACAACAATAATATCAATATCATGATCGTTGGTATATATATGTACTTAGTCTCTCGGTATCTGACCGATAACTGTAACAGAACTGTGTAACTACCGGTAACTGGCCGGTTCTCAAGTGATCACATTCTGGGGGTCGCCTCCCACAGGACCCAGTATAACTTAACTTAACTGGGCGAGTGACTCAAGATCGAGACATCTTAATCTGGACCAAGAACGGAATAACTCCATCGTTTGGGTAAATCTCCACACACATACCTCAGACATGATATAAATATTATAGTCAATGTAATACCCAGGTTGGGTCCCCACATTTTCTGCTTGAAAACTTTTGAAAACTGTAAGTGTTGTGCTGGGTAGCTGTATCTGCAAGCTACATAAAAATATAAACAAATATACTAAGTACTTGCTCATATACTCAATATAAATCTAGGATGCTCGACTCCATTAGATAACTTATCCGGATTTAAAGAAACACTCTAAAGGTTCTCTAAGATAATATTAATTCCGGAATTAAACTGTTATACTTAAATTGAACTGATTGGACTCGGAAAATACTAAGAAAAATCTCGAAATTAACTAAAATGATAGTCAAGATTTATACCTCCTTTTGAGTAGACGAAAAACTGAAAGAATCGAGAAAAACGAAGCCTCGAACGCTCGAACTCGTCCTTGACAAATTCACTCATTTTGTTACTATTCCCACGGGAATTCAAACTTCTCTAATTAAATGCTCGAAACTACGAAATACTCGACAAATGCCCCGCATGACATCGTGTCTGAATCATCTACACGTCCCAACTCGATTCTCGATAAACCGAAGTCACACGCGACCTTGCCGGACCCACGTAAACGGTTTTTCATTTATTTTACTAATATGCATCCTCGAACTCGAGCTTCTCTAAATAAATGATGGGGACCTCGAAATAATACATCAACGCCACAAACGACTTCTCCTCTCTCGTGCTTTCTTGAAAGAACTTTTCGTTAATGCTCGACTCGCTTATCAAGGCCCGACAGAACACCCAAAGTCGCGTCATTAAATAAGCTAATATATAACAAAAAATTGAAGAAAATTAAATATCTATTATAAAATTAATTTTATTTATAAAACGTATTTTCAAAATACGCTGGACAATTAGGAATTATGTTCTACAATTAAATATAAATTATAAAATTAATTTTATTTATAAAATGTACTATTGAAATATGTTTTACAATTAATTAGTTATAAATGTATTATACAATTATAAATTATAAAATTAATTTAATTTATAAAAGGTATTTTCAAAATACATTTTCCGTTAACTTAATTACGTGATTATTTTAATGATAGTAAAACGTCTTTGTAGAATACGTTTTATATTGTAAACGTATTCTCGTAATACGAGCTTTTAATTTTGGTCCACATTTTATTTTATATTTTTGTTTTGTTTTTGTCCACTTAATTTTTTTTAATTTTTATTTAAATAAAAAAATCGCCGTTGTTAGGGCCAGGCAAACTTTTATGAAAAAATTCTTTATCCAATGGAAACCTTGGAGCATGTTTGGATATGAAAAATTTTGGTTTTGTTGGAATTTTTGGTTTGGTTTGGTTAATTTTGAAAAATGTAGTATAGTTAATTGTTAGTGGGTATATTAAAATAATATTTAAAATAAAATAATTAAAATTTGATGTGATTGTTAGTTAAAATAATGCGAGTGGATGAATAGTTAAAGTTGATGTGATGTGTATAAATGATTGGTTGGTATTATTTTATTATATTGATAATATTGATAATAGTGGGGTTGAGTTAAAGTTGAGTTAAAACTCTTGAGGAAGAGCTTTGCCGTCCTTGTGGTCCTACCCGGCTCGATTTCGGATTAGTCGGTTCCCCTGTAGATCCGGAAACCAGAAGGTCCCTATACCAAAAAGTTGAGTTAAAAAAATGGTTAAGTTAAAATGTTGAAATTTTTTGTAAGAATTCTTGTATACAAATATGTTGTTGGTTTTTGAACCAAAAAAAATTATATTTTTACTCTAAAAAAGGGAAACATAACAAACAAAATAGTTGTCTGATAGAAGAATATTAGCGAACAAATCGTTTGACCATTTATACGTGAGTAAAATAAAAATAGTATAACTATTTTATTTTATTTAACGAAATACATGCAGGCACGTTATCATTGTATGCAAAAGTTGAAGTTGTCGTACCAACAAAGTTTGACTCAAGTGATAAGCAGTTTGATGTCGCTTAAACAAGGTCTTGGGTTCGAGTCCTTAGACTCACCCACTACTGTCAGGTGTGCTACATGGATCGACTAACGAATTAGTCGAAACATAACTCCGGATACCGTGACAGGCTACCAAAAAAAATTCAAGTTGTCAATGTTGGATTTATTTATGGACCCCACAAATCCTTATGTAGTAAGGTTGACCAAATTGAGGCTCTCTTCTTTTGGCTTTTTTTTTT